AGCACATTTTGTCTTCAAGCGTTTAGTTTAAAACAAAGGAGTAATCAAACTACTTTGTTTAACACCTTCGTCTAAGTCATTTGAAAATAAAGTTATAGTTAGTTTCTTCGCTAAATATTTTTTCTTCAAACAATTCCTTGAAGAAGCAGAAGGTGTTTGATCAACCTATTCGATTTCTACGTTATTTGAGGACAGTCCATCCGCTACTCTTCCAGGAACTGCTGGGAGGAATAGAGTTTGAAATACTTTAGGTGTTAGACATCGACGAGAGCCAACTATACTTCCCTTCAAAATTTTTATTACATACTACAAAGGTGGAATAAATTTGTAGTTTTGTTTTATTATTAAATCTTGGACAACGAACAGCAAGTGCCCCAAAATCAAATAAATCGGTTGAATTCGTAGTCTAGGGCAAGCGATGCATCTTGTTGCCCACATCAAGGCAATTCGGTACACATTTTCTATATTTACGCATCTTTATAAAAAAGGCACAAAACAACAGCGGAAAAAGCACAAGATAACAGCTCAAAAAGCACAAATTTATAGTGGAAAAATAAGCTTACTAACAATGGTCAACTAAATCAGCTAAGCAAATTGGAAATGAAAACACAACTGAATACAATTCACCAAGTCACCAATATAAATAAACAACGCTTCCGTTTGATTTAAGCCAAGAATCCATGACACTATGATACCTCCACAAAAATCAATATTCACCTGTCATTTACACTCCCACCACCCACTCCACTGTACTGTGCGCCACTGCATCGATTAAAGGATTATACAGAAACCTATACGAAATGATACCTACTTATATTGATTATATTAAAAAAAAGTATTAGGCTTGTAGGGAAATTATTAACTGTTAATACCTAAACCAGTAGCATGAGAAAAGAGAAAAATTAAACAGTTATTCCATAAACCCAATTTATTTACAAATACTCAAATGTTAAGATACACAAAATTGCAAAAGTTATTAACAATAGAAAATTATCAAATGTTAAGTTACATAAAATTGCAAGAAGATACCAAATTGATAAAATTATATTTTTAAAATAGGTCTTCCTATATATTATCTTTAATTAAGCAATTAAAATTAATTAGAGTAGAAGGCGGAGTCAAAATTTAGTATTTAATTTTCCAATTAATAAAAAAATAATATAAGTAATAAGTTTAACTTAACGATAATAAATAAATCCAAATAAGTAAAAAGAAATGAGTTTGGGACATATTACCTAACTAAATATACCTTAAATACCAACTTTACTTATAGTATGGCTTTTTCTACCTTAGATATAGATCTATATCGAAATTGAAAAATGAAATACACCATAGAAAAAATATTTAACTTACATCCGCAAGATAACATATGCAAGTCTGTCATGAAAATTATCCACTATTCATTCTCATACAAATATGACTATACTAAACGTTTTATTAAACATTATAAAAAAAGAAGTCATTGAAGATAATACTTAAGCCACCTTACCCAAGATAACCTACGCTAAAGAAAACTGGACATCATCCAGTTTACGTCCAGTAACCCAGTCAATGAAGGGGGTTGAAGCATCTTGGCATCTTGGAATGTCTGAAGACTTCCAGTCATATTAGGAGATATGGTTTTCATATCAAGTCGTCTCAGCACAATCTTGTTCATGGAATGTTTTACTTAAGACTGGATGCTCCTGCTTTCAACAGAAAAACCAAAAGTACCAGCTAGTGCCAACAATCTAATAAGCCAGGGCTACCAAGACATAAACTTAACATGGTTATAGTTCACATCATCCCCAGCAACATTGCCTTTTCAGCCGCTATCGCCATGGATAGGAAGAAACTCAAAATGGGCGTCTTAGTACTCTTAGTTAAACACGAGGGAACTCCTACTAGGATCATAACAAAATCGGACTCATTATAACGTAATTAAAAATAGGGTTGTTATTAAACTTACCCTACACTGAGGGGTAACAATCAAAACAAAATACTGCTAACATATATAACTCTTTCAAAAATACGAAAGCGGCATATATGTCTATGTCTGGTCCTAAGAGATCTGTCTTTTTCTCTTCCACTCACTAACAATTTTAAAACAATAACAATCCGCAATTGTATGGGATTTATGAATGAAACATTTTGTCTCCATGTTTTATTTATTTTTTTTTATAATTCTGTAGTGACGCAATAAATTGTTCAAAAGTATTTAAAATTTTTTGATTTTTCTCACCTGTCCTATATATTCTTATTTTTAAAACTTGATGCAGAAATAAGTTACTTAGATAAAGTTGTTTTGTGTTTTCTAAGGTTTTTGCAAATGTCTCTAATATGAAATATATCTGTATGAAAACTTTTAGCAGTACCCCAATTTTTCAAAATTTTATCAGTTTATTTTCTAAAAAAAATGGTAAAAACTCGTTAAAAGAAAGTTTTTCTGTTGTTTTTCCATAAAAACTAAATAAAATGTTTAAAAAGTAGCTCTAGCGTAACAAAGATTTAATCTATTCAACGTATTTACTTTAAAAGTGGAATATACTATAAAAATTTTGCATATGGCTATATTTTTCTATTGTAGGTTAAATAAGAAACAATTCCACTCGACCATTCACTGTTGGGTTCTAATTAACAGTGCTGTTCCTAAAGTGGCGCTGGGAAATAGTAACAAAGCCCACACAGAACACGAAGCTAATGGCCGTAGTAGTCGACGCCGATGACACCAAATTTAAAAAAAAAAAACCAATTTATTTGGAGTGGAGGGGGTTTAGTAGATCTCTATAAGACTATTTTATAACCACTATAAAAGTGGTTTAATAGGAAGTAATAAAACTTGAAAATGCCCATCATTAAACCATTTAATTACAGTTAATCCGGTCCATCTAGACATTCAAGGATACATAAATTCGCACCTGGCTGAAAGTTGGTAGGATTGTTCAAAACACCATTATAAATAAAACAAAAAGTTCTCATCAATCCGGCACCTGGAAAAAAATTTACTCGGGTTCAAAGGTCACAAAAATGGGTTTTCCGCGATTTTCAGCAAAACGGTACGTTTTATCACAAAATTAGTTCAAAATAAAATTGTAGAGCAGATAATTATCTATAAAAACTGTCTAAAATTTTTTATTCCTAAGAACCACCGTTTCCCAGATATAACAATTCAAAAAGTTCGAAGAGTTGGAATTGTCGTAATATGCACACGTTTCCACACCACCTTTGAGGTAGTGTACTTATCGCGTTTTTTTTAACGTGGTTTCCCCGGTAGGCCTATTCCACGGATCTGTTGTGACTCTAATTTGAAACTATTAAATAATAAAAGATATTGGCACGAGTTGAAAATTAAAAAAGCGGGGTAAATAAAAAAAAGTAGACAAATTTATTCGTCGGAATCATAATTCTCAAATATTTCTGCTTCCTCTACCAGTTGTTCTTCTTCTTATTTTTCTTCTTCTTCTTCTTCTTCTTCTACTTCTTTTTCTTCTTCTTCTTCTTCTTCTTCTTCTTCTTCTTCTTCTTCTTCTTCTTCTTCTTCTTCTTCTTCTTCTTCTTCTTCTTCTTCTTCTTCTTCTTCTTCTTCTTCTTCTTCTTCTTCTTCTTCTTCTTCTTCTTCTTCTTCTTCTTCTTCTTCTTCTTCTTCTTCTTCTTCTTCTTCTTCTTCTTCTTCTTCTTCTTCTTCTTCTTCTTCTTCTTCTTCTTCTTCTTCTTCTTCTTCTTCTTCTTTTTCTTATTCTTCTTCTTCTTCTTTTTCTTCTTCTTGTTCTTTTTCTTCATTCTGGGTGCATGTAAATTGGAAAAATAGTGATAGGTCCCATGTCTCCTCATTGGTATCAAACGAGTCCTCTAGTGTTGATGATTTTTCATTGGAGCACGACCGGCCTTGACAGTTAGTGCATGCTGCAGAACAAAACAGTCCAACTTTTTTACAACCACATATAGCATACATCCTTTTTTGCAGTTGCAAAAAATTGTGTTGAGCAGTTTTTCCGGCGCAGGTAGTAGTAAAGTTTGAACTGGTTCTAATGCATTGTCGACCAACTTCCAACCCCAGTCTTTTGGGTCTGATAACCAAGCCACACTTGAACTTGATAATATACCCGTGAAAGATGTTGATGAGCAGCCGCAGAAGTTGGAGGAAGAGAAGCTAATTGTACTTGTTTTTTATTTCGAGTATTTTTAAGGAAGCATGCGTATCGAAACTTATCTAAACACGCAGTTTTTTTAGGAGCTCCATACATAGAGAGAAGAAAGTTAATTCCGTGAGTGATAACTTATTGTGGAGTAAAATTACAGTTTTTAAAATCTTCAACACACTTAACTAAATCTTGTTTTTCAAACATTTTAAAAACTGTTGTTTTACCCCTCCTGAAAAATACAGATGTCGTATCATAGCCAGTTATTGCGTGTAGAAATAGTACATGATTTTGACACTTTGCAAAAGTTGATAAACTTTTCGACAAATATATTTCGGATTGATGTTGAGATTTTCCCGGCTTTAAAAAAAAATAGTTTTTTCTATTGGAGTCCGAGCAGTGAGTAATACGAGTAAGTCAATATCTTCACCTACAACAATCGTTGTATTTGTCAAATTAAATTGCTCAATTGCTGTTTCAACTATCATTACATCAGCATCATTATTAGCTTGTTTGACCAATATATTTTCAGTAGTAAACTTTTCTTAACATTGAAATGAACCGAGATTTGTTGTGAGTATTAGCAAGAAATTTCTGTTGGCTGGTAGGAATTGTCATTGATTGATCAAATAACATATCAGAAGATGAAGATGTTGCTGAAGTTCTTCGACGTGGTTCTGCGGCTTTGATATTTCTCATAAAATCATTATAGCTATCAAATACGACAATAATGCTGCAGCCAAAATGTCGACGTACATACTTAACGTATTTATCTAAGATAACGTTTAAAGTTTCTTCGCTATCCCACACAACGCGGTGTAATAAATATCCTCCATCAATGATTTATGTCGGATTTGTGTTGTTAATATCAATATTTACCTTTTAGAAACAATCGTAAATGGCAGACTTTTGTGTTTTGCGTATTCCAATTTCATCAAACAATGATAATGGGTAGGGAGCCAATTCATATTTAAAATATTTTTCAATTTCATCTTGAAATGCCGCAGTAATACTCATTCGTTGGAACAATAATACAGGGTCAATTGGTACTTTTTCATCGTGAACTTTAATGATGCTACTCATAGCTAAAAGAGGAACTACTTTGTCAGCGCGTTTTAATTTAATATTATTAAATGTTAGTCCTGTTAGTTTTGTCATAGAGTTAAGCCCAACTACACGAGCTTTATAACAGTTAATTTCACCAACAACACCACTTGAAATATATATAATTTTGTCAACCTCTGGAAAAGGATCATGCGTGGAGAACCGCTCAAGAAGTTTCCGTATATCTTTTGTATCTTTTTTTACTCGTAAATCACTTGCATCAACATGCTGTTCGGTCGTATCCATTCTTACATTAGCGAGGTCTTCTAATCTTTCACAAACTGTATTCATTGCATGCATACTATAAACCCATTTACTTATGACACTCTCTTTTGTACTTCTCCCTCGAGCAATACCTCCATCCGTCTTCATAGCTTTCACCATTGACTGTTCTATTACCATATCTGTTGAAGATCCACAGCTTAATTTGTCTGAACGTGTAACAGTGAAAAACCCTTCTGTAAAGTTTTCGTAAACTTCGGGATCGATCAAGTTGTGAAATTATTGCATGTCTTGTAAATAAAGGTGTGCAGACTTAGCATACGGAAAATGTCCAGACGCATGAAAATAAGGAAGCATTTCTTGAACGCATTTTAAATGAGCTTTCCAATCAGCCATACGCTCAGCTCTTAGAAACTCTTTTGAAATTGAAACCATAATGAAATATTGTATCCAAAGCTTCGCAGTAGGTCCTCGTTCTTCGTATTCTTTAAGTTTTTGAATAAATTTATCAAGTAATGCTCCTGATACTTCATCGTCATTTTCAATGTCATTATATGAAAGAGTCTTACCTAATATGTTTTCTATATTAACAATAAGATCTGCATCCATAATGTCATTAATATCAACTTCTTTTAATATTATAATTGCCAAAGCAAGCTGAAGTAGTGTATGAGCTCGGACAGCCCTTGCGTAAGCATGACCGTTGAGCATTTTTTCTAATAATTTCAGTGCGTAAATCTCTGCGAGTACTTCTTTCATGCCACTTCCTTGCATAATATGCCCAATTGCTCCAAGAAAAGACATTAAAAGATGAAATCCTCCGAGTCTGATGACAATCTTCGATATTTCAGAGCCGTCAGGTGCGGCTGATACAATTTCTCGAGCTTTTGCATATAGAGGTTGATCAAAAGTCACAATGCATACAGTGTGGCCATACAGTTTTGCATTCTTTAATGCACAAAGTAAAGTCGTGTAAATTGTATTATAGTTACTTGCTGGTTGATGAATAAAGGGTAAAAATGAAATTTGAGATTTGAAATAATTAATATGATTGTTTGTTAAACGTTTAATAAAGCCATTCCAACCGGGTAACGACGTATTTTTCCATTTCCCATAAAACCATACTACGTCAGCTTTTTTGAGGAAAGATACTGTTTCAGTCCCATAAGCAAAATCTATGACATTTATTTTACTGTAACCTACAACACCGTCATTTTGATAGATCTGTATTGGCACATGAGTTTTTGCCTGGAAATCTTTCGCTGAAAGGGCTTCTTTTATTCGTTGCATAGGTTCTTCTAGTAAAACAGATTCTTTTGGAGTAACAATTTGAATAATACCCATTATGTGGAGCGTGTTATTACCGTCTAGTGTATTTACATTAATATCAGCATTGTCTGCAACGTATTGAATAAGTGTGCCACTTTGTGGTGGTAGGACATGAGGAGGACGATGAAAAACTGATGCTGCCTCGTACATTATTGTATCATTATAAGATGCACACAAACCGAAAAATGAAAATATTTGTATAAGACGTATAAAAAAAAAACGGACAGACCTAATTGTAATTTAGACTTAAAAGACCTCGGCCGAACAGCAGTCATTATACTATGGCTAATATTTGTGCATATTAATTTTAAATGATTTAAATTTTATCTTTAATTTTTTAAAATCACTTGATCCAAAAAATGGGTCAGCGACTCTGGGATTTCGTTGTTTAAATCTTTAAACATGCGACCAGGTGGAGGGTAATTCGAATTATCTAACACAGTGTATTGAATATCTTCGCGGATGATTGCTGCAGCAGCTTCTAAGATTCTGAGTCGTTCTTATTTTTTATTCAATTTCTTCTTTTCATACCAAGCTTGATTCAAAATATCATGATGATTGTCTACTAAGCATATGAATGTTGAAGTTCCTGATTTTTCAGTGATAATAATTTTATTACCATACTTTAGCTTTAATCGCAGCTTTAGCGTCCGATTGTCTATAATTGTAGTTTTACAAACATTTTTTAATTCGTTCAAAGTAAACTGACAATCATCACTCTTTTCGATATAAGTGAATATTTCCTCCATTGCTAGATTCGTTGTTTCATCGTGAGGACGACCGACTTCAACCCCAGTGTTCTTCATGTTGTCTTTTCATAGATGCAATAGAACACTTTCGAGTATAATTTTTACGACACTCCATATGTATGGTCACAGATTTTTGATCTTTAAGATATTCTGTATATTCATCAGCTCTTTCAGTACTTGCATTGATTAATGTCTTCATACCACGTTCTACAGTTAAAAATTCACTTTCACTTAAAAGTTTAGAATAAATAAAACAATACTCTGACATTTTTGTTATCAAATTTAAAACAACACAAAATAAGTTAAAAAATATAGGTTAGAATAAACACGTGTTTATTCTAGACATTTTTTATAGATAATTATCTGCTCTACAATTTTGATCTAAACTAATTTTGTGATAAAACTTACCGTTTTGCTGAAAATCACGAAAACCCCATTTTTGTGACCTTTGACTCCGAGTAAATTTTTTTCCAGGTGCCAAATTGATGAGGACTATTTAGGTTTTATTTATAATGGTGTTTTGAACAATCCTATCAACTTTCAGCCAGGTGCGAATTTATGTAACCTCACTTGCATTTTTTGGTCTAATTTGACCGGAGTAAGTTATTAATTTAATAATATTTATAAACTAAACGCTATATTACGCTGTTACTAATGTAATGACCATTAAAGTATTTAGTTTTTCTATTAAACTCTGACTAAATTATTTACTAACGTTAATCAAAGTTTTTCATTAGTTGCTTGGGACATCAACACTGATCCAAGATCAAAAAATTTAATACCCACTCTTAAATGTTTAATAACCACAAGCAAAGTTTTTTCTCGGTGTAGTCGTACAAACTCACCCTTTGTCACATTATGAAATTAAGTAAATTCCAATAATGTTTTAATCATTTATTTATACTACTACTACTACAAATTAGTATTCAGTGTTTGCCTAGGGCTCTAATTTAACCAATTTTAATTACATCTATTGTGTACTTATTTTAAAACGTAAAACGTATTTCAGTAGGCTGTAATTTAAGTTTCTTTGTTAGATATCTATCCATTTTTGTTGGCATTATGTATTCCACCATTTACATCGATTAATTTACTAATAATACAGCGTTTCTTTAACAATTCTTATCTTATATTACCCTCCAATTTTGTATTTTATTCAACCTGTCATCAAGTTGAATTAAAGTGCCAGTGGTGAAAAGCAAATTAATAGCTGTAATAGATAACCAGAATTACTTATTAACTAGACAATTTTAACAACAAACCGCCAACCATTCTTTACATTTCAACGACAGTACTGCAACGGACTCTTTTTCAAGATTTTCCTTTTAATGTAAAACACCGCCTATGAGAATGAAAAGTGTGAAATTTTTCTGAATCTAAAAGCAAAATTGCGAAGCAATTGTGTTGCTGAAAAGGTACGAATTATGGCTTTTTGTATTCTATTTTCTCTTAAGAAGAATAGCTTGAAAATGAAATAAATCCTGATTTAATTAAAATGGAACAAAATTTGTTAATACATTAAAAACAATTTAAATTTGTAGTTTTAGTGTTATAAAATAAAGTTTAGGTGTGATGAAAAATATCTATTAGTATATGAAATGTCGGGAATATTAATTGAGCTTAGGGATACAAATTTTAAAATATGTATTGTAATAGTAGTTTGTGGATGTGTATACGAAGCACAATCGTCTAAATGCAATGCGAGTAATCCTCTCGAGTTATACAGTATATTTTCCCTACGACCCATAAACGAAAATCTACATAATTTAAAAAATTTATTTTAGGTTATTAAGATAAAATAACTCTTTTAAAGATAATTAACACATGCATTTTTAATTATGAATTTTACTAAATTTAAAAACAAATGGTCTTAGCCAGGATTTAAACCGCGGACCGAGGACGGGAACCCTTCACTCAAACTGTTGCACAAGAAACTTTTGCTTGAATTAGATTTAGATCATTTTAATAGAATTTAAAATTTCTTTATATATACAAACATCTAGTAAATTCTCATTATTTATCGATTCTTCATAATAATCACTCATTTGACTTCATTCTTGACACATTCTGTACATTTTAGCGGTATCTTTCTGTTTCTTATTAGGTTTAAATATTATTGTGGTACAATTTAGATACCTGTCTCGAATTCTTTCTGTTAAGCAGATGATGATATTATATTACTCACTAATTGAATCACATCTCAGATTTGGAATTGTTGCTTGGGGTGAAGCACTAAAAGCACATATGCATAGTCTAAAAATAACACAGAAAACTTTAATAAAAATTATTTATAAAAAACATTTTACCTACTCTACTGAAGAACTGTTCGCAGAAACTCAGATATATGACATCCGTCAGCTGTTCTGTGAATGTCTATTACTCAGACAATTCCAAAATAAAGCTGAACTAAAACAAATTGAACATAATTATAATACTCGGTTAAAAATAAATGAAACGTACCTACCTACGGTGAAAAAATCACATACTCAACGCAGTTTCTGGTATATCGGCCCAAACAGTTATAACAGATTACCTGGTGAAATAAAGAACGTGAACTCGAAATACTTGTTTAAACAATTGGTTAGAAATTGGATTCATTCACAGTCAAGGAACAATATGCACCAAATGATTGAAAACTATTACTTAAATCCCTAGCTTCCTGCTTAACCTGTAGCAAAAACAAAAATATTTTTATTTCTTTTTAGGAATAAGTATACCTAAATAAATATATATATATATATATATATATATATATATATATATATATATATATATATATATATATATATATATATATATATATATATATATATATATATATTTTTTGTTAATATGCTATTGTTTGTATCCACAACTTCCAGTTCAACCCGTAACATTTTTTTTTCCTTTTTAGTAAATAAGAAATAAATGTATTTTATTATTTAATAATGCATGCAATTAAAATAAACAACTAATCAGCCAGCCAAAAATAGAGTCTTACCTTTCACGTACATGGCTTTCCTTGTAGAGTGTAAGATATCTAAGGAGGCGTTAATATTCTATAAAAAAAGAATATCCATGCCACGTACAAGTTCGCTTATGTGGTCGTCACATGTTTATTGA